TCTACACGATGTCCTGAATATTGAGGTATAGCATTTTGAAACACGAGATTACCTTGTCGTCGTTCATATTCTTGTCGTAAAACTGAAAGTTTTTCATCATTTGAGTCCAGCTCAAATGTATTTCTTCTAATAAGAGAAGGTTGCATATTATTTGTTAAATTTACATCTTTATCATTTGTTGGTTCCATTATTTCCTTTTTAGTCTCTATAGTCAAATTTGTATCATTATCATTTGTTTGTGATATTACATATCGGTCGTTATTTATGTTTTTATTATTGTCAGGGCAAGGAGAAGGATGCGCACTTTCTCCACTGTCTGCTTCTTTAATTTCTACAACTAAAGATTCTTTATTTATTTCAGTATTTATTTTATCTTTAGATATAGAATTAATTCTTTTTATTTTTTGTGGCTCAAAATATTCAGTAAGTTTCAATTCTTTTTCGAATTCTGCTATTCGTTCGTGTTCAGTTTGCAAATTAGTCGTTTTTAAAGATGTAAATTTATAATATTGCTCTTCAGCGAGATCAGTAGATGTATTTGCAACATACTTAGAAGAATAGGAAATATAAGATTGTAATTTTTCATTATTACATTTATTTTTAACCACATTAGAAGTTGGAATTTCTACTTCATCATTAAGAGTTGATGCATCAATAAAATAGTAATTACTTGTATTACAGGAACTTTTTTGGTTATCATGTGAAATTTCATGATTTATATTTTTTGATCGTACATTTTCATTTTGTGAATGACTGGAATGACACATTTTTTCATCTTGTAACTTTTTTGTGGATTCTTTCTCTGTGCAATTTTTTTTTACATCAATGCTTGTAGAAGACGCATTGCCAAAATTAACAAATTCAAATGATTCATTTTCATTACTTCCACAATCTGATTCATAAAATGGATCACTAAGTACTTGACTTTCATATTGAAAGATTTCATCCGCATTTGATTTTGCTTTTTGAGCATTATCCATAGATGAACTAGAGAAATCTAATTGTGGTTGTTCTGTATCAAAAGAACAACATGTTGCACTGTTATTTGAACCATATTCCATTAATCCTGATTTTACTAAGTTCTTTGAATGACATGTACTATCATAATTATTAGTCAAATTATAATGTTCATTTTTTACGATTACTTTTTCATCCTTATTATGTAAATGTTTAGCGTGTATCTTATCCAATTCATCATTTCCTGAAGTATAATCTGTGACTTGTAATTCCTCAAAATTAGTACTTGAATTCTCAGATATAGTATTTTCATGTGGACTTACAGAACCTGTTTCTAAACCAGAATCAGCCATATCGGATATAGTGGGACTTACATCCACAGTAGTATATTCTCTCACATTTCTTGTAGTTTCAGTACTTTTTAAATAACAATCTGATGAATCCACATATCTTTGACATAAAAACAAATATTTATAAATATACATAAAAAAATGTACTTATAACTATAAATACATATAAATATATTATTTTTATTATTAATAAAATAAAACTATTAAAAATATTAATATATATATTAAAAATATTTATATATATATATTTTATAAAAAATACATTTTAAAATATTGTAGTTATAAATTGTAACCTTTTATTGATGTCTAATACTTTATTATTAGAGGATGCATTCACAAGTTTTGAATAAGTATTCAAAATATATTCTACCAATAACTGTTCTTCTTTTGAAAAATTAGAATTACTATATAAGAGTCTGAAAATTTATAAAACAGAATTAACAATGTATGATAAGAATGGAAATAAAAAAAGATATCTAATACATATTGTTCTAATTATGATATCTAATACATATTGTTCTAAAATGTGTGCATTCTATGACATTTATTTTGAAAATAAAAAATTAATTACAGGCTAATAATAATATCATAATATACTATTGAACATCATAATATACTATTGAATAGAATAATATATTTTTATTGTCAATATATAAGTAATGCTTATAATCATTATATGCATAAAATAAAATATAAAGAAATAAAAAAAATAATTTATTTTACAAATTTGATATTATTGATAATAAAAATTATTTATAATTCAAAATTGAATAAAGGGAATTTTCATATGATTGCAATTTAAAAATTATAAAATTTATAAATTAACTTATAAATAATTAATATAGTTAATAATAATAATATATATATATATATATATATATATTTAATTGTATTATATATTATTTATTTATTTATTTATTTATACACGAAATAAATTTTTTTAATGGAAACAATATATAATACTTTATTAAAAAAATTTTAATACATAATTTATATAAAATGCATGCAAATAATGCATGCATAATTTATAATATTTATATAAAAAAATATATAGAACTTTCAAAATTCTATTAATTCAGAAATATTTATATTATTTTAATATTAAAATTAATTATTGATTAATACATATATTTAAAAATTTTAATGATTAATTTTTACAAATATTTCTAAATTAAACAAGAATCTATATTATAGAGGTAGGTATAGCCTGCAATATGTAAATATAATATAATAAAATAGTAAATATAGTTTTTATTGATACTGCTATATAAATGATTAGGGATGATTAGGGCAGTACCTCACAAAACCTTCTATGTGATGAAAAATTTCCAGTTTATCAATGATGCAATCAATATGATTGTTAATGTATATAAAATAAGGCTTGAGAATTTCATAAAAATGTGGAGCTCTTATTTTAACAATACAATGGTTTGTTCTTATTATATTATGTCCATATACTATGTTAAAATCACAATATAAAGAGTCCGTAAATATGCTACAATAAAACACTCTATTCAGTTTATGTATTTACGAGCTTATATTTAGCACATATAAATTGTTTTATACAAAAATATATCTTCACTGATACATTAATAAATTACAGATAAATTTTATACAGATGCAACAAATATTATATAATAAAATAAGATCTGATATAAGTAATTTTTAAATTATGATTCTATAACTTTGTACAATATATTAGTTATTTCAATATTTTCAATAAATTATATATTAATATTATATATTATTATACGTTAATTATATATTATTATATATTACTCATATAAACTAAAATATAAAATATACAATAATACAAAATAACTCACTAAAACTTTTCAAATATATCATGCAAAGATTTATAAAAATATTTATATTTATAATTTATATTATATTATAATTTTTTTCTTTAATATATTAATAAAAAAATTATTTTTTAAATTATTTCTTCTTTGAATTTGAATTAATAATTTATAATTTAAATGATAATAAATTATTAATTTACCTCAAAATATTATCTTGTAGATCATTAAGACTTTTTGTAACAATTCGATTTTTTTCTATACGTTGATGTTTTTTAAATGTTTCACTAAAAGGAAGTTCAGGCTTGACAGAAGCATAAAGTTGATGGCAATAAAGCCATTGATGTATTTTGTCTAAATTTCCACTTTGCTTGTTGTTGTCCCTGCCTCCAGCCATGAGACATGTCTAATCTTTCATACTTGTTTACCTTTAAATCATTAAATATAAAAAAATTAAAGAAAAAATTTCAGTCAAATAAATATAAACATAAATTAGTTAAAAGAAATATATAATATATAATATATAATATATTACATGTAATAAAAATATTATATTTAATATATTTATTATTTTTATAAATAATAATTTTCATATATAATTTCTATTTATATAAGTTTGATTATAGTAATTTCATCTTTAATTTTTTCAGATTAATAAAATTTTAATTATAAAAAAATCTAAGCAAAAGAACATAATGATTTAAATATTTATATTGTCAACAAAGTACACAACAATTTTAAAGTCAATACAGTATAAAACATATTTCTTGCAACAATTCTTTTATTAATTCTTTTATTCAATATTTAACTTATTCAATATGTACTTTCAACATTGAAAAACTAGTATAAAATATATATAATAAATAGTATAAATATATATAATACTAATATAAAATATATATATTATACGTATAATATATATCTGATTGTAATTTATTATGTAATATTATCTCGAGAATATATTTAAAAATATATATATATATATATATATATATATTTTATTAAATATTATACATATATATATAATATTTAATAAAATGTTATGTGATAATTTATATTCTGTTTAACCTTAAATTTAATATGTATTTAATCACATATGGATTCGTGAATTAAATATTTTATGAAATATTTGAAATATAAATAAATTAAAATTAAAATAAAATTAAGATGCAAAAACTAAAAATAAATATGTAATTATAATACAGTTCAAAAAACTAAATTTTAATCAAAATTATATGATCGAAACATGTTAAATGTTGACTAATTGATTGATTAATAATAATTATTTTTAATTAAGAAAAAATACAATAAAAACGCATAATTAAGAAATTATTTTTTTCATTTTTGAAAAACATTGATCGAACACACCTTGTTGACTGTCATTTAACATATCTTCACATGCATCCTAAGTAACTTACTTTCAAAAATTAAGAATAACATACATAAATTAATGAGGTTGAATATAGAATATTTATTTCAAAAAGTTTCAAATATACAAAAATATTTTTTGTCAAATATTTTCTAAACTTATATTTTTAAATTATATATTTTATATAAAACATTCTCAATAATTTATTGATCGTATTTCATACATATGTACTTACGTACCTCGCATTATTTCGGTTCTGGAATATCAATCAGAATATATCATAATTATACGATATTATGAACTATAATTTTTTCGCGCATTTCGTATCCGTTATAAATTTTAACAGATATTAACAATATGACATTATCAAATATCACTACTCGTTTGTTATTCAAAAGGCATAAATATGTGACGACTGTTCTCAATATAAAAGCATGAAACTGACTAACGCTAGTTCCGCTAGGTGACGTGCGAATCAAAAGAAATTTTTTATTTTGAGGTTAAGTACAAGAATGTTCTGTCAAATTTGTTTATAGATTCTCATGATTTCTTATTTATCATGTTAAGTATTATAATAGTCATGTTTGAAAAATATTCAAGATGAATACGAAGGAAAAGGAAAAATATATTGAAGAATTTGATTTTCCTCATTGTGATGAATCTTCTAAATATGAAAAAGTTGCAAAAATTGGTCAAGGTACTTTCGGGTAAGTTTAGTTATATTCTATTTTAGGTTATAATTATATACAAATGAAAAATTTTTATTATTTTCTTTAATTTTAATAATATATATTTTTTCATAGAGAAGTGTTTAAAGCGAGAGATAAGAATTGTACTAAAAAATTCGTAGCTATGAAAAAAGTATTAATGGATAATGAAAAGGAAGGGGTATGTATATGTTGAATATTTGATTAATTTGATTAATATATTTTTTTCGTTTTTTATTCATTTCATATGTATATAAATATACAAACACAATAGCTTACTATATTTTTATTTAGAAATACTAAAAATTATTAATTCTTCTAATAATTATTCTTTTTTATGTCTAAGATAAATAAATAAATTTTTTTAAATCTTATTAGAATTTTAGAAATTTTAAAAATAATAGTATATAAATAATGTAGAAAAATTATATAAGTTTTATTAAAAAATCATTTATACTCAATAATTTGCATAATGTTTTGCATTCTAAAGATAAAATTAATTAAACTAAAATAATTTTCAGATATTATAATTATAAATTGAATATAAATTTGATTTAACAATTAAAAATTAAAAATATAATTAATTAAAAATTAAAAATATAATTGAATAAGATTTTATTATTTATTATCTTTATTATCTCATTTGTATAATATCAATTTTTCTCATTAGATATATATCAATAATATGTATTTTTAAGAATATAACTTTTGATGAATTTTTTAAAAATTAAAATTTTTTAAATTTTTTAACTATTTTTAAATTGTATTCATTAAATATTGTTAAAAAATATAAAAAAAATAATATAATTTTTATAAAGCAAAATGAAGAAAAGTTTTATTTCATTTTTTAAAGAAAATTATATATTATATTGAAATATATTTTACACTTATATATCATATGAATGTACTATAACATTATATTTTTTATTTATAGTTTCCTATAACTGCTTTAAGAGAAATAAGAATATTGCAATTATTAAAACATGACAATGTAGTAAATTTAATAGAAATATGTAGAACAAAAGGTAAATATTTGATATTGTAAATAAATATTTTCTGATAACAATTATGAAGTAAATAATTTTGAAAATTTTTTTTTAGCAACTCAATATAATCGTTATCGTTCTACATTCTATCTTGTATTTGATTTTTGTGAACATGACTTAGCAGGTTTATTGTCCAATGTAAATGTCAAATTTAATTTAGGAGAAATTAAAAAAGTTATGCAACAATTATTAAATGGTCTTTATTATATACATAGTAACAAGGTAAGAGCACAATAAATGTATAATTAGAAAAAAAATAATTGAAAAAAATTTGTTTAATATAAATAATATAAATTACATATTAATTTTTTGCATAGATTTTGCATAGAGATATGAAGGCTGCAAATGTTTTAATAACAAAAAATGGTATATTAAAATTAGCTGATTTTGGATTAGCCCGTGCATTTAGTGTAAATAAAAATGGTCAACCAAATCGTTATACAAATAGAGTTGTTACTCTTTGGTATAGACCACCTGAACTTTTGCTTGGTGATAGAAATTATGGCCCTCCTGTAGATTTATGGGGTGCAGGATGCATAATGGCTGAAATGTGGACCAGGTATTTATATTTTTAAGTAATAATATTGGTATTTATTATTGTAAATTTATTTTTAATATTTATTTAATATAATTGTTTATAGATCACCTATAATGCAAGGGAATACAGAGCAACAACAGCTCATATTAATTTCTCAATTATGTGGTTCGATTACAACAGAAGTATGGCCAGGAGTAGAAAATTTAGAATTATTTAATAAAATGGATTTACCTAAAGGTCAAAAACGAAAAGTAATTATCTCTATTATCTTAAATAAAATATTTTCATTAAGAATGTAATTCATTGAAAATATACATTTTTTTTAGGTTAAAGATAGATTAAAACCATATTTAAAGGATCCTTATGCGTGTGACTTATTAGATAAACTTTTAATTCTTGATCCATCTAAAAGATTTGATGCAGATTCCGCATTAAATCACGATTTTTTTTGGACGGATCCTATGCCTTGTGATCTTAGTAAAATGTTGGCTCAGCATACTCAGAGTATGTTCGAATACTTAGCTCCACCAAGACGTCCTGGTCACATACGCCATCCTCATCATCAAGTACCTGGGGGACCAGCCAAACCTAGTTCTAGTATGGCCGACAGTGGTTACCAAGATCGTGTATTTTAGAATAGTTATATTTTTTTTTTTATAACTATAGACTGCCATTTATTATTCATATTTTTTTCAACTCGTAGCATTTTGATATAAGATTTGACTTTAATTTTATTTTAGTAATAATAGAGTATTAGTTAAAATTAAAATTTTAATTTATATAAAATTTTTAAATGTAAAATTTTCTTATGTATATATATATATACATAAACAGGATAATTCTCTCAATGAATTCAAAAGCAATATTATCATCTAAATATTGTGATATTTATGCATATATGATTTATAATATTTGTGAACAAATTAAGTTTTTTTATTTTGTAAGTCGTTTCGTAAAAATTTGATAGCTAACTAATAATAGAATAGCCATATTGACAAATTATTATATATAAAATGAAATTATTAATACAGTTTTTAATTGCTTTTGAATTCATTTTGAAGAAAAATCATCATATATATATAAGTTATAAAAAATTTATGGAAATTTATATATATATATAAATTTTGTACAAGTAGAAACAGTCTTCTATTTTAAACCTTATTTCTATAAATATTCAAACTTATAATTTATAATTTTTGTTCAATTATTTATGTATTATATTTTACAAAATAATCTAATATTTCTCAATATTTATAACAAGAAAAAGAAATTTTATATACATTCTTAATTCAACTTTAGTTGTGTTATATATTAGAATATATAAAACATCTTAAAATATACTCATTTAAAATTTTACATAGATATAACATTGTGATACAATTATGAAATAATATAAGATTATAACTGTAAATTGCCGATAAATTAAATAATTAAAAATTATATTTAAGATGAAAATATTGAAATTAATTGTTATTCCAAAAATTAGTTCATCAAGTATTTGTTATCAACAAAAAATTTTATTTTAATAAACAAATTTTAACTTTATCACAATCTTTGAGTATGTTGTTATATAGTTTATTATATAATAATATAGTTAATTATATAATAAAAGATTAAATAATAGAAGTATTAAAACATATACAAATCTCAAATTAATTAAATTTAAATTAAAAAATTTAAAAAATTGCTATACTATTCATATAATAAAGAGCGTGATTAATGCAATCAGCAATTTTACATTCAATTTTATCAATCAATATCTATACATCAATATCTATCTATCTTTGTCATGAAAAAGCAATGCATAGCATCTAAATAAAAAAAAATTTGTACATAATTATATGTCCATAATACTTTGTTGTTTTTATTCTATATATTATATATATATATATATAATTGTAATATATATATAATATATAATACAATATAGAATATATGTACTTTTTATATATTATATATATAAAATTGTAATATATATATATATGTAAAAAAATGAATATCGATTAGAATTTATTTTTCAAATTTAAATAATTTAATTTTATCATATCAATATATAATAATAACGCTTGCCTAAATGATTTCTTAACAAGTTTAAAAAAAATATATTCATATCATTTTAGATACATAAAATAAAAAGTATTGAAACAAATTTTTTTCATAACAATTTTTTTAACATGTAACGTATTTAATTATATTGTATTAAAATTTCAATCATATATCTAAAAATAAATATAAATACATTTTTAGCTAAGAAAATTAGCTAGACAAGCAATAATGCATTACAATATTGATTAAATGATCATCCTCTCTCATTTTATCTAATGCAAAATTAAATTATTTATTTATTTATTTGAAAAATAAGTCTCATTCGACATTTTTTCACATGAACTTTTGTGATATTGATGGTATTATACATATTGGTATCTAAAATCTGATTTTTTAAAAAACATTCCATTTTTTAGCTTTTTTTTGTATAAACATTATACAGATATATTATAAATATAAGATAAACATATAAATATATATATATTTATATAATATAGATATGGAGTATTATCGAAGTAAATATAATATAACATATATATAAATCAAAACAAGATGAATCTATATGAAAAAATAAATCGAAAATAAGAAATTGTTTTATACGGAACTTCACTTTCGAATAAATCAATATTGAAGAATCCATGATATTGATAAAATTCATGTATACAAAACTAATTGTAAGTTAATCTTAAATATATATGTATTTAACAAATTTTCAACATTGATTTATTTAAAAATAAATTATTTTTTATATAAATATTTGTATAAAAAAATATCATTATATATTTTCGATTTATTTTTTTGTATAGATTTATTTTTTTTTTAACTTACATTTCAGTAATATCTTGTATATATCTATATACATATACATATAATATCATTATTATATTCAAATTACTAATTATTAATATCTTTCTAAAAAGTACAGAAATATAATCTATATTAAAAATAAAATAATGTGATATTTATCATTAAATATAAAAATACAAATAAATTTCTTTTAACATGGCAATTAGCTTTTTTTGAAAGTTTCATCGTTACACTATGAAATATTCATTCATATGTAATGAACGATTACTATACATATCAATAAAATACCAAACATATATTTTTATCACATATACTTTTAATCATCATCGTTTTTAAGAAACTGATCCAAAGGATTCGGGCCCATTCTCTTCGGTTTATTCGTTGATACTTTTTCTGTACTTTCAGCTATAATATTTTAATATATTTAATATGTATAATAATAGATTTGAATACAATATTTATAATTGATGAAAAAAAATATTATACAAAATTTTAAAAATTTGCATATTTATATTAAAAATATAATATATTAAAAATAATTACATGTTGTAGTACGTTGAGCATTTAGACAACTGAACCATTCCGTCATGCTAATTTTTCTATCATTATTAATATCACAATATCTTGGAAGTCTTTTACCACATCTTTGAAGTTGTCTATTATTCGCTACCATTGTGCGAAAACTTTTCCATTCTTTTCTTTCTAAAACCTGAAAGAAAAGTATAAATACATATCAATATTAACATTTTATTTAAATATCTTTTTTGTCAAATTGATTTTTATGATTTTTATATAATATATTTATTTATATAATATATAAATTTATTAGAAAATATTTATTATTCTTACTTTATTTTTATTTTTATCAAGCATGACGAAATGCCAAGTTGCTATTTGTTCCTCTTTAGAAGCTTGCCATTTAGCTGTTGTTTCATCTGAATCAGTGCCAGAAGCTTTCATCTTTTTATGCATCAAGTCCATTAAATCACGTAAAAACAATTGTTTTTTTTGTTCAGGACAACCTATATTTATAAATTACAATATTTATAAATTAATAAATTTTTGTTGAAATAAATATATAATAAGACAAAATATATATTATACACACTATATATAACTATATATAACTAAATATACACTATATACATTAAAATATGATTAATTACCTTTCATAGGCCTACTAGGAGTAGGTACTGGATTACAATTTGGAGTATGGTTTTTGGAAGATGTTCCAGGTATTGGTTTGCCAGTATCTTGATATACACACCAACAATAACCTGAATAACATTGCACTCTGTGGTACCTTCCATCAGGTGTACATGCAGGTATATAAAATTTCTCCTGAGAATGTTGCCTCTCATCTTCTAATACAGATCGTCTATCCGTTAAACAGTCATTTGCTGTAAATTTCATTTTTATATTTTACATATCTTTTATATTATATTTTTTTATTTCTTTCATATTGGCATTTTATTTATTTCTTAATATATAGAAATTTTACAATAATTAAAAAGAATAAAAAATAATAAAAATGATTAACAAATTATTTAATTTTTTTTATTATATATTTTTTGTATTGGAATTGTTATGAAATTTAATGAATTATGTAATTTTATTTTTTAATTATGATTTTCTAAATTTTGAAAAACTATATCAAAATATATATTAATTTAAAAATTTAAAAGAAATTGTATTTTTGATTTTAAATTTTAAAAAGATATTAACAATTGCTTTTATGAAGAAAAAATATATAAAAGTTTATTTACCATCATTATCTTCTTTCGTATCGATTGGATCATCATTAAATGCTGGTCGAGAATGCATTGGAGGAGGATTACCATTCAACACTGTGAAAAACAAAAAAAAATAGCATTATCATCGTATTTTCATTTTCATTTATAATTTTCACTTATAATATACTAATATAATACATAATATACTTATAATGTATGATTATAATCGGCCCATTCACGAAAATTTAAGATTAATGTTAATCATTATGTACAAAAACAAAGATTTTTTTCTTGTTTTTAGAAACTATTACGTTTTTAAAAATTATGAAATGTTTTATTTTTTTATGAAAAAATCTTTTTTGTACAATCCATGAATGTTTTGTAATATGATCTGTTAATACAGCGGTTAATTTAAAATTTATATTTACACTAGAATAATTATAATATTGCACACTTATTTTTACAATAATTTTGAGAAAGATTACTATCCGTAATAAAATTTATGCACAAATGCATACATTTTTTTCATATATTTTTTATCTTTTTTCTTTTTATTTAGAAATATATCATATATCATATATCATATTAAAATAAATATATTTTATAAATATCAAGATATAATTTAATATATTTTGTTATTTTCAAAAAAATTTTTTACAAAATTATGCAAATTAATATAATAGTAAAATATAAAATATAAAAATATATTTATATAAATATAAATAAAATAATGATATATTTAAAATATAAATAATATACTATTTATATAAGAAAAATGATTATAGAAAATTTTCATCAAAAATCAATAAATAAAAATTTATGTTTATAAAAAAAAAGCTTTGGCACGATTTTAAGTAAATTTATTATTTTTTTAAAATGATACGAATAAACTTAAATAATTAAATAGTAAATAATTCAGTAGTTCATCATGATAGAAATTAACTTTTTTTTTTTAAATAAATAGATATAATTTTTAATTATATCATAAATATAAGAAATATAAAAAAAAATAATTTGTTAAAATAAATTTGTTATAGGGATATGTGCCGATTTTTTCAAATAATATTTTATTAAGATAAAATATTAGATATCTTTTAATTTAAATTCAAACATTGAAA